GGACCGGGCCGTGCTGGTGAGAGAGGGGAGAACCGGGAACGGGGCGGGACCGGGCCGTGCTGGTGAGAGAGGGGAGAACCGGGAACGGGGCGGGACCGGGCCGTGCTGGTGAGACAGGGGGGAGCGGGGCGGGACCGGGCCGGGCTGGGAAGAGAGGGGAGAACCGGGAACGGGGCGGGACCGGGCCGGGCTGGGCTGGTGCTGTCCTGGTCCCCTCCCGGTCCCAGTCCCGGTCCCGTCTCCGCGGCCGTGGAGGAGGCGAGGCCGGGGCTGAGCCACCCCCGGTGCTGGTGCCGCCGGGGAGAGCCCGGGTGGGAGGGCGGCGGGGCCGGCGCTGGTTCGGGGGCTGCTGGAACCGCCAGGGCTCGAGCTGTGACCCGTGTCCGTCCCTCTGTCCGTCCCCTTGTCCGCCCCTCTCCTCTGCAGCAACTGAAGCAGCAGCGGGACAAGCTCCGGCAGTACCAGAAGAGGCTGAGCCTGGGCCTGGAGCGGGAGCGGGCGCTGGCCCGGCAGCTGCTCAAGGATGGCAAGAAAGAGTGAGGGGGGAAGGGTCACCCGGGGGGGCGAGGGCCGGGGGAGCGTCAGTGCCGAGTACGGGGTATCCCTGGGAAGGAAACCTCGCTGGAGTCAAATCATGGAATGGTTTGGGTTGGAAGGGGCCTTAAAGCTCATCCAGTCCCACCCCCTGCCATGGGCAGGGACACCTCCCACTAGCCCAGGTTGCTCCAAGCCCCGTCCAACCTGGCCTTGGACACTTCCAGGGATGGGGCAGCCACAGCTTCTCTGGGCAGCCTGTGCCAGGGCCCCACCACCCTCCCAGCCAAGAATTTCTCCCCAGCACACAGTTTGCTCATCCTTGCTCTTCACAGGAGCAGCCCAGTTACGTTGCACGTGGCTTAAGTAGCACAAAACAAACGTGGTTTTTTGTTGGGGTTCTTTTGGCCTTTATTTGGTTTCAGCTGTGCTGAGTTTTCCTCCCTCCGTGTCCCCCAGGAAAGCCATGCTGCTGCTGAAGAAGAAACGATACCAGGAGCAACTCCTGGATAAAACAGAGAACCAGATCAGCAACCTGGAGCGGATGGTGAGCGAGGGCTGGTCACTGGGGGGGGCTTGGTCTCTGCTCCTGGGTTGGCACTCCCCTGGATCCTATGGAATTGCATTTCAGCTGCCAGTCCTGGCAGGGGTTTAGCCCTCTGTCCAAGGGCAGATGTCTCCAGAACTGTACATGTGCCACGACTGTTCCTTACAGAGGCAGAGGGGGGAGTGTGTGTTTGGAATCTGTGGGGCAGGTTACGTGTTAAACACTGGTTTGTAAATTCCTAAAACGTTACTCACAGTGTGAGTGGCTGCACTGGAGACTTCCTTGGGCTTTGTCTCAGAACTGTAATTTCAGAACTGGATATGTTTGGGTTTGGGGAGGCCTCAGCTGAGACTGGCAGCTGGAAAATGAGGTGAAATCAGTTCAGGGGCTGCTGGACGTGCGGCTTGTGCCGAGCTTTTTGTGTGGATATTTCTTACTGTAAATTAATCCTCTGTCCAGTACAGGAAAGGCTCAACTGATTCCTCCTTGCAGCTCCTCTGGGGTCCCAGCAGCCTGTGTCTGGGAACCACAGAATCATGAAATTACCTTGGCTGCAAAAGCCCCCTGAGACCATCAAGCCCAACTGTTCCCCAGCACTGCCAAGGCCACCATTGTCCCCAAGTGCCACATCCACATGGCTGTTAAATTCCCCCAGGAATGGGGACTCCCCCCTGCCCTGAGCAGCCTGTGCCAGTGCCTGGCCAAAGTGTGACAGGGCCTTCCCTTTCTCCTTTCCATTCCAGGTCCAGGACATTGAATTCACCCAGATTGAAATGAAGGTCATTGAGGGCCTGAAAATAGGCAACGAGTGTCTGAACAAAATGCACCAGGTACGTGTGGCTGGGGCAGCTCAGCACCTTTGCCCAGGAGGGCCCTGGCTGGAGCTGCCTCCCTGCAGGCCTCACCCACACCTGAACTTTGGCTCTTCCCTCCAGGTGATGTCCATAGAAGAAGTAGAAAGAATAATAGGAGAGACCCAGGATGCTGTGGAGTACCAGAGGGTACGTAGGGCTGTGGGGAGCAGACTCTGCCTGCTCTGCAGAGTTCCTTGGGTGTGCACTGTGTTCCCAGCCCTATTTAAGAGCCATCAGAGTGAGAATTAACTCTCTTTCCCTCTCTCCCACAGCAAATAGACGAGCTCCTGGCTGGCAGCCTGACCGAGGAGGATGAGGATGCCATTCTAGAAGAGTTAAATACCATCACTCAGGTAGGATTGATGTTCTTGTGATTAAAATCCACACTTTCAGGAAGTTGGTTGTAATGGGAGGTAAAGTGAGATACAGGAGGTGCTGTGACCACTGCCAGATGTGTGTCACATGTTGTCTTTCCTGTCCTTGCAGGAACAGTTGGAGCTTCCAGAAGTTCCTTCGGAGCCGCTCCCAGAGAAGATCCCAGGTACGCTCTCTCTGCAGCTTTGGCTTCCACGCAGTAGCCTGGGACCCTCTCCCAGTGTAAGTGTTGTCCCAGAAAACAGGAAGGAGTCCCAGCTCCCAGGTGTGAGCCCTGTTCAGTGGGCTGTGCCAGCTGCCCCCTCGTTGTGTGGCAGATCCTCACCCGAGAGGACCCGAGGCTCTGGTCTCTGTTCCGTCAGCACCTGGTCATTCCCTCCAGGAGTTTCCTCCTTCCTCTCTACCTGCTCTGAGGCAACCACCTGCCTTGAGACACCTTGTTGCACTGGGAAGCTCCGTGAGGAATTCCTGCCCTGCTTGTCCCAGGCAAGACTCTCTCCCACAGCACTCAGACTGGAACCCTGCCCATCTCACAGCACAGGGACAGTTATTTTGTGGATATTGGATTCTCCCTGCACAACACGGGATCTCACGGAGGCTTCTGAGGGCTCACAGCTCTTCTCACCTTGTGTCACGGGGGTTGGAACCAGCTGGGTGAGGATCTCTGGTCCCTCAGCTCCAGGACTGTTGGAGCACGAGCTGCACACAACTGATGGTACAGGAGCGTCTGCTCTGAATGGTGCAAAACCTCAGTGGATGGGTTTTGTGGGAATTCAGCTGGGAAGTGGGAGAGAGCCCATGAAGGAGGTGACCAGATGGGCACTGGTGGCCCTGCCTGGCCAGGAAGGAGCTCACACAGGTGTCTGTCCATGGTGAGATGCTGAAAACTCAAACTGGTGAAGACTCTTCTCCTGGGGCAGCAGAACCCTGAACTGTCGCTCACAGAAGCTGCACCTCCCTGCTTGTGCAAACAGGAGCTGGAAGAAGCCATTTCCTCCATGTGGAATCTGCCCAGGAGCAGTCTGGGATGTGGGGAATGGGGCTGGTTTCTTTGGTGCTTGTTTACTCGTAAACAGGGCTCAGATGTCATCCCTGTGTGCTGGCAGCAGCGGGAGCCAAGCAAAACACAGCCTGGCCCTGTGGCTGCAGCTGTCTGAGCCTCGTGGGGCCAGATCTAGGGGATCAGGGGAAGAGCTGGACTTACCCCTGCGCTCCAAAAAAGGCTCCTGCCCTGGATCTGTGTCATTGGGCTGGTGGCTCACTGGCTTGGGTGTGTTCTGAAACTGTTTGAATTCTTCAGGTGCTGTGAGAAAGGGCCACACTGGGAATGTGGGGTTATTTATAACCAACTTCTCTTATTTCAGGTGCTGTGCAAGCGTTTGCTGCTCTGCAGGACGGATTCTGAGCCCTGGATCCTCCTCAGGAGATGGCTGCAGGGTATTTACATTCTCCCTTTCTGTAACAAGTTTCTTTTCCTTCCACAGAAGCGTCACCCGTCAAGAACAGGCCAAAGCCAGAGCTGGTGGCAGCATCTTAACTCCCAGAGCTGGGGATTCCCCCACGAAACTTTCAGCGAGGCCAGTTTGCCCTCCCAGGGTGTGCTGGGAAGAGGCAATGCCTTGGCAGCATCCCAGCTGTGCTGGGTGGATTGTGGAGCGGGATTCCCTGCGCAGGGCGGGGAGCCCCGGCTGATTATTGCTCTTGTATCAAGATTATTTTCTAGTGCTTTTCTTTTTTTGTAACTTAAATTCTAAACTCACTCAGCTGCGCTGTCTCGGGATTAAACAGCAACTCTAAAACCTCCAAAGCCAAATTTTTCTCTGTAGGTTTGATTTTGGTGGCCAATCTGCCTTTGCTCTGACTGAAATCCCAGGAAATCCCACCCTCGGAGCAATGCTGTTTGTGCTGGGCTTGGCTGGGCGAGCACAAGCCCTCCAGACCACACTGCTGTCTCTGTCCCTCTCTGTCCCTTCACTCTTCCTCTCCTGACTCTGTCTGTGGATGGGCTGCCGTGTCCCTTGGCCTGCTGTAGGTTGGGCTGAGCTCCTGCAGGCAGCGACACGTCGTGCTACAGGCTGGAAATGGTTCTGTCTTGTGTAAAACCAGCTTGAGGGTGTTTAATTTGGGCCAAGTTCAGCCTGTTTGCTTGGCTCTGCACTTGCTGGCAGCGGTTCTGGTCGGGGAGAGGCCTGATCTCATGTGAGGTGAAGAGCTGGCCTTGGTCACGGTTCAGGTCCTGCTCTGGGAGCCCCGCGGTGCTGAGTGAGACTGGGCTGGCAGAAATCTCTTAAAATGCCAGCAAGGAGCCTTCTGCCTGTGTTGAGAGCCAGGATTCCTCCCTCGTTGGCTCTGCTCCATCGTCGGGAGTTCACCTTTGTGACACTGGGATGGACTGGGATGGACTGGGATGGACTCTGCTCCCGCCGGCAGCTCCTGGGGGACGATTCCTCGCAGCTCGGAGACAGGAAGGTCAGGCTGGGCTGAACAGGAGGCTCGTGCTGCACCAGACACGAGGCCTGAAGCTTCACAGATCAACACAACAAAGACTCTGCTCCAGGAGCAGCTCGAGGGAGCCCCGTCCCCTGCAGCCGACCCTGCGGAGGACACTCGGAGCCCGGTTGGAGTGGGGTGACACCAGGTCACACGGATGATGAAGGGTCTGGAACACTGCCTGGCCAGGTGGTGGGCAGATTTAGCTGCTCTTGGAAGCGAGCTCACCTGCCAGCTTGCAGATGCTCTTCAGGACACTGCAGATCTTTATTTATTGCGTTCTTGAAACCACAACCCTTAATCTGCGTTTCTGTGACAGCAGAAGAAGGACCGGAGGGTCCTTGGAGACTTTTGGGGATTGTCATTGGGTTGTGGGATCTGGTGCTAGACAACAAGTGATCCCAGAGACTCTGCTGCTCCCCTGTGGTGTTGGGCCAGCAGCAGCTCTGGGCTGAGTCGTGTTCTCCGTGTCCTTTCCGTTATGTTCCAAAGACTGGCCAGCACATCCTCGACCTCCTCGTGTCCTCAAGGCAGTGAGTACCTTGGAGCCACCCTGTTTCCAATCCCACTGCTCTCTCCTGATTAATGTTCCCCAATAAACCCGGGCCCAGAGCCCTGGGCTCGTGTTTACCAACAGTGCAGTGTCTGTGGAGCTGGGGGGGTTTGGGTGACCCCAGAGCATGTGCTGTCACCCCAGCCAGTGCTGGAACAGCCAGACCCTGCTCCCAGCCCTCCCGGGGAGAGGCTGAGTCCTGCTCTGCTCCCGGTGGTTGATTTTCTCTGCTCAGTCCTGGCTGTGCTGCAACGCAGCCTGTTCCCACCAGAGAGAGCCTTGGATTCACCAGCGCGGGGCTGGCCGAGCATTTCTGGGCAGCGTTTTCCCTTCAAGGCTCCTGCAGCCCGTTGCCAGCCTGAGTTGTTTAACATGACCCTAATGAATTTGGATTCATAGGAATGAGAGCTGGGCTCTCCCAGGAAGGTCTCCAGGGGATCTGGCCTGGGAGCATGGCTCTGGCTGCCGGCGCTTTGGGAAAACCCTGTTCCGTGGGATTGGCAACGCCACAGGTGAGGGGGGAGAGGGACGAGGAGGGAGGAGGACTGCAGTGCCTCTGCTCTAGTTTGCTTTCTCATGAACGTCCTGGCAGCAGGAGAGATGTGAGCCAACCATCCCTGGGGCCAGGGCCCGGTGGCTGCTCCTGGGTGGAAGCAGGTGCAGAGAGGGAGCAGGGCTGGGGCTGAAGGGGTTAATGCAGCTCCTTCCATTCCTTAATACAGTGAAGAGGCCATTTACTGATCTAACAGGAAAGTTTGGAGCAGATTGGCTGCAGCTTCCTCAGCTAATCCCTGCCCCAAACAGCTTGTGCTGGGTCTCCTTGGGAGGAGGAGCCGGGAGTGGGCTGTGACCTCTGTGCTGTGCTCTGACAATAAACTGGTTCTAATGGTTTCACCAACTCCTGTTCCAGCCTCGTGTTTTCACTGTGAATGTTTTGGATGAGCAGGAGTTGCTTTCCTCCACCCTCACCTCTTCACTCCCTGCTCCTGGGAGAGATGTGGGCAGGAATTTCAGAGCAGGCTCCGTGTGTAACAGAAACAATCCTGTTTGCCTGGATGGCCCAGGGAGGCTCGGGTGGCACTGGCAGCACTGGGACAGTCCTGGCACAGCCCCGAGCCAGGTACAGGTGAGCTGGAGGGATTTTTGAGAGCCTCTGCCTTATCTAGGTGTGATTCTGGGGTTGTCCTGTGCAGAGCCAGGAGTCACACTTAATGATCCTTGTGGGCCCCTTCCAGTTGCGAATATTCCATGATTCTGTTGTTGCTGCAAAGGCAGAGCAGCCCCTGCCCCTGTCCCAGCCCTGTGCCTGCCTGTCCCTCAGCACCTGTGGGTGGGCAGATCCCCTCGGGGATCTCTGGAGAAACAGCTTCAGGGCTCTGCTGGGAGGCAGGAGCGAGGGGCTGGATCCTGTGCTGGGGAGGGGGTTTGGAAGGGCTGCCCTCCCACCTTGGCTTTGTGGTGAAACCAAGCTGGGGTTTTTTGCAAGAATTACTCTGGAGCTGGTGACAAACTGAGCCATGACCAGCCCCTGCCCTGGGCCTCCAGGGATGTGTGGCTCCATCCTGATGGACGGCACTGCCCTGCCCTGGGCTGGGCTCCCCTCCTTCCACTGCTTCCAGGCCCCCACAGCCAGCACCAGACCCCTGTGCTTGTCCCTGTTCAGAGCAGGGACTGGGGACACCGTTGGCAGGGCAGGGCCACAGGACAGCACAGCTCAGCCCTGGGGGTGCAGGATGAGACCCCCCCAGGCTGTGCCTGAGCTGCCGGCGGGTGCTTGGACACCAGCTGGTCCCTCCTTGCTCTGGATTTGCTGATGGAATCCCCAGGATGCCTCAGGCCCCCCCCCTGCCCTCACCAGCCAGACCCTCAGCCCCCGGCCTGCCCTGCTGGGGGAGGTGCTGGGGGTTCCAGTCCCTGGGAAAGCAGCTGTGCCGTGTTTGGTGTTTAATCAGCACTGCCTGGACCCGCTCGGCTGTGGCAGGGGGTGGGAGCACAGAGCTCGTCCAGCTGTGTTTGAGTTGGCCAGATGTTGAGTTAGAGGAGTGTGGAGGCAGCACTGCTGGTTGTTAATTAAACCCTGGAGAATATGAACAAACCTCACGCTGCTTCCTCAGCCATCCCCCGCAGTGCCTGGAGCCCTCCCCGGAGCCCCCAGCCCTGGCACGGCCCTGCTCCTTCTCCAGAGGCACAAACCCCCCATCCCACCTGCCCATACAGGCACAGCCCCTGTGGCAGTGACAGGGAATTTCGGTCCCGTGGCATTCCCAGGAGTGGGTGTTTGTCACTCCTGAGCAGGTGCAGGGTCTCTGTGGTGTTCCCAACGCGCCGCTCGGAGCCGGATCCAGCTCCGTGGCCTTTAACGTGACTTGTGTGGCAATGTGGGATCACGGCCCCGTGCAGGAGCTGGGGGAAGGGGGATGCTGTGCTGGGATTGTTGTGCTGGGATTGTCACTGCTCCCCTCCACAGGGACAGGCCCTGTCCTAGGGGGACGTTTCCCCATCCCACGGGATCTGCCTGGCCAGGCCCGCTGCCCACGCAGCCCCTTTGTCCAGTGTCCAGTGCCCCTGGAGCGGGGAGGGGAGAGGCTGAAGGAATTACAGCCAGCGTTATGCAAGCGGCAGCACCTTTAAATAGACTCTGATTCCCTGTTGTCCAGGAGGCAGCAGAGCCACTGGGCACCAGCACCGCTCCTGGGGCTCTGCTGGCCCCTTCCCAGCCCCCCACCCCTCCCTGTGCCGGGAGCTGGCAGGAAGTTGGTTTGGGGCAAAGGCCATCCTGGGAGCTGCCCCCCCTCCTCAGCAGCCCCTTCCCTGGGGTTTCAGGGAATTGTGTAACGGGAGGCAGTGGCAGAGCCCTGGCAGTTTCTATGCCAACACAGCTGGATGGCAGCGCTGCCCGGGGAGGGGGAGCTGCCAGCACACCCCCAAAACGGCTGAACACCCACCCCCAAAACGGCTGCACAGCCCCAAAACAGCTGCACGCTCTAACACAGCTGAACACCCTGACAAGGTTGCACCCCCCTACACCGTGTCATTCCCTGCTGCCTCGGATGTTTCCTGAAACACGCCTGGAAAAACAAAGCAGTGAACTGAGAGCCCTGGAGGTGACAGATCGTGGGCCTTTCCTCTGGGTCCCGTTGCTTTCTTGGCTCAGAGCTGTGGTTGGGCACCACGTACGGGGGTCACACTCCCCCAGGGGCTGTCGGTGCCCCCTCCCAGCAACCCTCAGCTCCCACCCTGCTTGGCAATCCCTGACTCAGGACCAGGCACAGTTTAGAGAGGATCTTTCATCCTCCTCCTCTTCCTCTTCATCATCCACGCTCCGAGCTCGCCCTATTCCCTGATCCCAGGGATCAGGTTGCTGCCCACACCTGGGGGGACCACTGGGGTGCTTTGTTCTGCACCCAAACCTCACAGTGCCCATCCCCCCCGACTGCCCCACAGGGATCCGGCCTCTGGCTCCTTCCCTTTCCCCCTTCCATAGTTCCAGTGCCCTGGTGTCACGCTGAGTCACCAGCGCGGCGATGGAAGAGGCTTTGGCAGGGAACAAGCCCAAGTTTTGATAGTTCAACTGTGGGAAAGAAAAAAAATCGGCGCAATTTCCTAATTAGGGCCGCGCCGGGAACAAAGCGGGTCTGTCGGAGCGCGGCCGGGAATGTGACCTTTGCTGGCTCGCGGTGCCAGACGGGAGCTGCCGGTGCACGGCGGTGCTTGGCAGGGGCTGAAATGCCTCAGCAGTGCCTGCTCTGACGTAGGAGCCAGAATTCCACCTCCCGGGGAAAGCCGGACCCGCGGCGGACGGGTGGAAGGAGCACTGGGAGATGGCAGTTCGTCCCCGTGTCCCCCACTTTTGCTGTCCCAAGCTGCTCTGGCTGCCCTGCCCCGCGGTGGAATGTGGCTCCTCAAGTCGTGGGTGAAGCCGTGGCCAGGCTGGGTGTCCCTGAGGGCTGGCACTGCGGCGTGACGGGTGTCCCCAGCCCGTGGCTGCCACCCAGCCAGTGTGGCAGAGCGATGCCAGGCTGCTCCAGGGCTGGAAGGAGCCACAGCCCAACGCTCCATGATTAATTAGTGAGGGGAAGAAACGAGTGGAGACCAGTCCCAGGGCTGTGCCTGTGCCTCTGAATCAGGAGGAGCCACACTCCTGTGTGAGCCTGGCCCTGTGGAAAGGCTGGAGATGCCGTGCAGGGGCCTGGGGGGCCTTGGGGCTGGAAGAGGAGCGGTGAGAATTCAACATCGTGTCCTTCAGCCCCAAGACTCAGCGTTTTGCTACAGCCTGGGACCTGGGCTGGGCTGCCACAACCATCAGATATGGCCACGGGACAAGGAAACCTGTCTGGGGGGGCTCTGGGGCTGCGACCAGCCCAGTGTCAGCAGGAGGGACAGGGAGAGGTGACATGGGCAGGTGGTGGCAGCGGGACCTGATCCTGTCCCTCCTGTTGCCCCCCCTGTGAGTCCAGCTGGTCCTTCCCAGGCAGGAGCCGGGCAGGGGGATGCAGCCCCCAAAGGTGCCCCCAGCCCCTGGGCAGCACCCCGGCGGCTCTGCCCAGGACGCCTCCCCGAGCTCAGCAACATGAGGCAAAATCCCATCATGCCAATTATGCAAATCACATAAACCATTCCTGTTATTCAGAAGGATCCCCAGAGAGCTCCTCAGTGCTGTAATTCAGCGTTACTCACTCGTGAAACAGGCGCTGGGGCAGGTGAGGAGGGAGAGGGGCTCCAGGATGTGTCCCAGCCCGGGAGCGAGGGGGAACCGCCGATCCCAGCGTGTTTTGGGGCTCCCCCAGAACACACAGCCCTGCTCCCCCAGAACACACAGCCCTG